AGTGTTTGAGAATCTCCATGCTGGTGCACCCTCTCCTACTAGAAAGGGTAGGAAATGGCCCTAGAATGGGCCAGGAGAAGATAAAATCCTGTTTGGAGCAAACAGGAGATTGCAATGGACAAGGAAGAGGGAAGCACTCAGCAAAAAGCATGGAGCTAATCAAACCTAGATGGATTTCCATCCTCCACAGCTCTGTCAACGTGTGAGGCTGGTGCCTAGACTGAACCTCACTATCACATTAGATGGAGCCCTTGTATTCTTAGCCTGCGGTTCATTGATCCTTTCTCATAGACAGGGAGATAAGCATGAAGCAGCAAAGTAAGGAGGTGATGGAGGACATAGGAAGCAGGAAAGGAGATGGAATTACAGAGCTGACCACCTACAAACAATAGGTGCATTTAAAACTAATCCCACTGCAAAAAGACTGTTACACATTAGGATTACGTTCCGCAGTGAAAATAACTTTTAAAATCTTGATTCAGGCCAGGTGTGCTGGCTCACTCCCCTAATTCTAGCACTCTGGCAGGCCTAGGCGAGTGGATCGCTCAAGGTCAGGAGTTTGAAACCAGCCTGAGCAAGAGTGAGACCCCATCTCTACTAAAAATAGAAAGACATTAATTGTCCAACTAAAAATATATGGAAAAAATTAGCCGGGCATGGTGGCGCATGCCTGTAGTCCCAGCTACTCGGAAGGTTGAGACAGAAGGATTGCTTGAGCCCAGGAGTTTGAGGTTGCTGTGAGCTAGGCTGACGCCACGGCATTCTAGCCCAGGCAACACAGTGAGACTGTCTCAAAAAAAAAAAAATCTTGATTCATTAAGCCTTTCCTCAACAGGCTAAGTAGTTTCATTACTACCATATAATGCCTCACTTCTAGAGGAAAATGATATACCAGTTTCTAACTAGCCAAATTATCCCTGAATGTCTTCGAGTTTAATCCCTTTATTTGTCCTATAGATATTTTAGCTAATTTAAATGAAAAGAAAGTCTATGAATTAACATAGTATTCAATTATGTGAAATTTAATTCTTCAGGTCTGATAAATATGAACTGGTCTCACATACGTATAATGCCATCATATGTATGTGTATGTGTATATATATGTATATATACACACACGTGTGTATGTCTGCAGTCTGTGTGTGTTTATCACTTTTGAAAATATAAATGTACATATAGATATATAAAGATATACACAGATATTGCATATAGACTGTCTTTGCTGCTGTTTCTAAAGTATTGTCAATGTTAGATTCTGTGTGTAACACACCTTCCTTAGTGGATGTACTCAGAGGAAAGAGGTCAGAAGGAAGCAGACCACTACCTCCCACCCTAGTGACTGTCAACCAAAACCTTTAGGAAACTATCAGATTGCCTGTGTAGGAGACTCTAGTAGACAGGGCTATCGTAGTTTGTCAGGCTGTCGTAAAAAAGTGTCACAAACTGAGTGGCTGAAACACCACAACTTTATTATCTCACAGCCCTAGATGCTAGAGGTCTGAAATGAAGGTGTCGGCAGGGTGGGCTTTTTATGAGGACTGAGGGCCAGACTGTGTTCTGTGCCTCTCTGCTAGCTTTTGCTAGTTGCTGGAAATCTGTAGCATTCCTTGGCACCTAAGCTGAAAGATGAGCTAAGTAGACTTTGATGTGCTTTCCACCGTTCAAGAGCTCTGTTACCATGTAACACTGGTGTCCAAATTTCAGGCCCCTCTGATATAGGATGGAGCCCCTGACGTAGGGAGAGTCTACAATGTATTGAGATTAAGGGAATATTTGGACCTTTCCTAGTTCTAATCTGAAGCATTACTATTTCACAGGGCTAAGATATTATATGAGTACAGAAAGCCTCATTTCTAATAAAGCAGTGATATATTGAATCCGTGACACACACATGGATATGAAAAATCAAACATGCATGCCTAGAGTATTGTACCATTATCCCAAACAGTAAATTAATTATGTTTTATGTTTGATTTATTCTTACATACTCTCTTAGTGAAAACCCAGAGAGGACTGATAGAAATCATCACTGAAGCTCCAGTGTATGAAAGGTGATCAAATAGATTAATGAAGATATATGTATGTCTGTATAGTATATACAATCTTACACACACCAATATAAATAAACATACCAGAGGACATACTCCTATTACACACACATATATACATAAACATGGCATATCCTACAGATAGGAAAGAGCGAATAAAAAGACAGATGAACATGTCTGAAACTTACCCTCCGATGAGCATACATGGCCATACAGAGATTTTTTTGACATTTTCTGCATCTTCTCATGGAGCATTGGAGGTACTTCCATCTTCCTAGACTGAGGTCACAAGCGAGCTGGTCACAGAGAGGTTGAATTGTGGCTGATCATGGTATTTGTCCACTCAGTTATTAGCAGCAATTCCTTAAGGAAACCATGAGATTCCCTGGTATGAGACTCTACATTCTAGTGCGCCCTGTCCTGCTAGGAAAACCAGGAAGGGGAGAAATTCTATTTGCAGTAAGGAAGTATTTCAGTGGACGCAGGAAGAGGGAGCCACTCAGCAAAAAAACACAGAGCTAATGGAATGAATTCGGTTCTCAACCTCCAGAGCTCTGTCCGCATGTGAGACTGTGCCTAAACCGAAACCTCAGTATCACATTAGATGGAGCCCTCTCTCTTTACCGGCAGCCACTTGATCATGTCTCAGCCAGGATGACAAGCATTATGCATGAAATAACAGGTGATGGAGGCATACCAAGGGGAGCACGTGGACTGAAACACAAGCAGACTACCTCAACCTTAATTGAATGTAAACTACTGTCACCAGAAAGAGTCTTACACATTGGGTGACCTTAACAGTGAAAATGACTTAAAATCTTTGATTCATTAAAGCTTCTTTCAACAGATTACAATTTCATCACTAGCATATAATGCCTACTTATACAGGAAAATAATACCAGTTTTAAAAGCAATTTACATATGTATTCCTATACTTCATCAGTTTATTAGTTCTATAGATATTTAGCTAATGTGAATGAAAAGTAAGTCTGTGACTACACATAGCATGTGACTATGTGAAATTTAACCTCTTTAGCTTTGACCTAAATAGCTGACATGATCATGTATGATGGATATATATCTACATATATATAAATATCTCCTTATATAAATATACATAGAGATATATAAAATATTCAGAGGTTTGAAAATAACTTTCTTGCACATGTTTCTAAGGTTTGCAGTGTCTGCTTCTGTGTGTAACCCCTTTCCTCTGTGTATCTAGTCGGATAAGAGAGCAGAACTGGTCAGAGGAAACAGACCACTGCCTCCTACCCAGGTGACTGCCAGCCAAACTTTTTAGAAAACAGTCGGATTTCCCTGTCTACGAGACTTACTACGAGAGGGCTGTAGCAGTTTCTATAGCTGCCTAATGGATGATCACATCTGAGTGGCTGAAACACCAGCAATTCCTTATCTCACCAGTCCTCGACTAGAAGTGCAAAGACGAACATGTCTGTAGGGTGGCTTTTTATGAGGACTTAGGGCAGAAACTGTTGTATGCCTCTTTGCACCTTTTGCTGGTTGCTGCTTCTCTGGCTTCCCTGGCATGTACTGACCATCCAGATCTCTGCACTGCCGTCCCGTGAATTATCCGTATGTGTGAATGATATGCCAAATTTTCCCTGTTTATAGGATATAATCATATTAGAGTAGGGGCCACCCTACACTTCCATGACCCCGCTACTAACTACACATGTTTGCAATTACTCTAATTGAGAATAAGGTCACATCACGAGTTACAGTGATCAGAACTTCAGGGATTGAATTGGGGGTAGTATAGTCAACCTTTAACAAGGAACAGGTGAGGAGTAATCTTATCTGGCATCAAGAAAGACAGGTAATGTGAAACAAGAAGTAGGGCACTGAGGACAACAGACAAAGCTGATAGCCTTTGCCCTGGAGAGCTGTGTTACCATGTAAGGATGCTATCCCAAACTCCAGCCCACTCTCATTGGATGGAGCCCCTGACTCAGGGGGAGAGGATATGGACAGTGTGAGACTAAGGAAACAATAAAGAGCTTTCCTTAAATCTGGAAGCATTACTATTTCACAGGCCTAGGATATTTATTGCCACCATATAGAACTTCATTTCTAATAAAAGATGACCTTCTAGAGTTAGTTAGCACTACACACAGGAATATTTAAAAATAACCCAGTTGACAATTGCAAAGATATACAAACAACCCACAGTACCCATCAATAC